CATATTAGGTATCTAGCAAACTAAATGATGGATGAATCAAGTGGAAAGTCCACTTCAGACTGTCCTGTGGGTGATGGTGAATGCAGTCTGAATCACCTGGCTCTGGGCTTCAGATGCCTGCTCTGGACCTCGGGGTCTGTTACTGGATATAGTAGAATTGGTTGCAGATACATATAACTCAACAATTTAGGGAGCAATATTTTTAATTTTTGTCAAAGAGAAACTACGTTGAAAGTGGATACAATTATGATGAAAAGTAGGTGAGGGGGAACTTCTTCCTGGAAACAAACCATGATTTATTTACCGGTGCAGCAGAAGCTGGTGGTTTACGCACATTCTTCCATTTAGTCCTCGTTACCCAGTGTTAGTTATCCAGGTGGCTCTAGTCATACCCAATTTACAAACCGCTCAGTTAATGGGTGCAAACTCCAGACTTTGGATCCTGGTTCTCCCAGCTCGGAAGCCACGCCCTCCCTACCTTCCACCTCCAAGCCTCTTGGTGGAGGACATTTCCCACGCAGGATGGCAACGTTGCTAACACTGTGTGCTAGGTTGGGGTACAGCCTGGTCAGTTACCCGACGCTTGCCATCAAGTTTGCGCCAGTGGGTAAGGATGGGGAAGTTGGTTTAGATTTTCCTGACAGAAAAGACATAAAGCTGTCCATGATTGCTGGCTTGAATGCTACCCGTTTACTAAATGGGCTGGTTAACTGGATTGGTATCCTGGTCCTCATGACAGTTGGTAATCCCAGGTGTGATCCTCACCCCTGGCTGCACATTAAATAACCTGGGGAACTTTGAAAGAACTGGGGTCTTGGCTCCAACAACTCTGCCCCAAGTATTGGGGCTCCAGACATTGGTGGTTTTAAAAATACGCGTTTTCAAAAGGAATACCACTAGTTCCAATGACGAGTTTTCTTTCCTTCTTAGTGGACATATTTAGTGCAACAGTGTGTTTGAGGCCATACCCACTGTACCGTAGGCTGTCTTCCCCATCCTGTGTAAGATTTTTGTGTAATCCCTTCTTCATAATTTGCTCGACTGTGGTGACATGACATTTTGATGACTCTCCCTTCTGTTTTTCAGGCTCATCCATGACAACATCATCTTCCGTAATGAAGTCAGTGTGTGGCTTAGCTCTGCCAGTGCTGCGGGGAACTTGAATCTAATTCCACTCACGCCAGGCATTGCCTTGCAAGCCACAGTCCATGCCTCCCAGTCGGCAGTGGCCTTGGCCTGACACACATTCTGAGCTGCTGCTGCGCTCATGCATTTCCAACATTTGCTCTCAGATGCTCCTGAGAGTGTCATTGTCCTTCGTAACCTAGTATCTGTCTCGTGGTAAACGTGACCCAGGAAAGGCTCCTGTCCTTCCCCATCCTGTGACTTTGTGCAGGTTGTGGCAGCTGCAGTGCTGCAGCTGCGCTGAGACCCAGGTGTGATGGCAGAAGGGTGGAGGGAGCCTGTGCCCCAGCCTCCTCCCGTGGAAACCCTGCTGGGCACTCATCCTCACAGATGCCCACGCCCCGCTCCCTCGCATGGCATTGCCTCCACGAGCAGATGTCCAGATGACCTCAGGAAAACAGCATTCTTTGACCAAACTGGCAAGATGTCCCTAAGCACCATCTTAGAAATGTACCCTCTAGCCCCAGTGAGAGAGTCCGGTGCTATGCTGGACTCTTTCCGTGGTGGGTGGCTTGGCTGTCGAGTGAGGTCTGTGACCCCTTCTTAGAACAATGTTGCTAGGTACATGAAACACTGAGCTTTCAAAATAAAGCAGCTCTGTGAAGATGAGCTCTCTAAGCGTAAAAAATAAATCTGTGATACGCTAACATGTGCCTTGTTAGTAAATTAAATGATGACATTGCTCATCAATGACTATGGCAATTTCAAAGCAGAGATGAGCATAAAAGGTTCGTCATGATGTAAAATGAAAAGGCTTCCTTCCTCCCCATGGCTGAAGCATGAGACTTTCTTTAGGAGTTGTGGCTTTGGTAACTGGCGGGAATGCTGGCTCATGCAGTGAGGGAAAATGAAGACCTAGAGTTTCCCTCCCAAGGGCCCGGTGTGCTTATCCGAGGCCTTCTTAGGTATTTCCAAAGAGGAGTTCTGTGGGATGCTCATAGTTATTAGCAGTTGAAAGAGCCCTTCAGCTAAGGATACTGGGGACACTCCATGCTCCGTAGCACAAAGTAAACCAAGTTCCTTCATTGCAGAGATTTTAAGGTCCTTCCAATCTGTTCTGAGTCTCCATGGGGTTGTTGCAAACTATGGTGCCTGGCAGTTCTCCTCCAAGGAGCACAGAGCCAGCCTGGGGGCCTGCCCCGAACGATGTCCCCAGGGAGACGGTGAGTCTCATGGATGCAGCCGAGTCCAGGAAAGGACATCACCATCAGAATCATTCTCCTGGTGGTTTTAAAAATACGTGTTTTCAAAAGGAACATCACTAGTTCCTCCTGGAGGGTTTTCTGGGAGCACAAGTAATAACCTCCTCCACACTTCTGAAAGTTTCCAGAGCTTCCTAGGGTGACCACCTTCACATTTGCTAACTCAAATCCTGTAGTTGCCAAGTCTGCCACTGGGGGGCGAGTTGGGATTCTTGAGGAGAGAAGAGCAAAGCAGGCCCTGGCCCTGCACCTGACTCAGACATCAGGGGAACAGAGGGCATACGCTCCCGCAAGCAGGGCCGACCTTTTCATCCCTCTTCTTTCCCAAATTCAGATACGATATCGCTTCCTCACTGCCAGGGATATAAGGTTAAATGGTAAACGTCTCTTACGCTCATATATGTTGTGCCAAGTGCTATGCTGACAATCAGTCCTACTCAGTGTCACCAGGATCACACCACAGGTCTGAGCCACATCTCTACCAAGGGCACTGCAGTGGACGGCTGACACCTGTGCCTGGCTCATGGGCAGCAGGGCCTGAGTGTTTGGTACCCGGAGGTCATTTGACATATCCACTCTGCTCTGTCTCCTCCACATGGAGAAGGGTGGGCACAGGAGGGAGACCAGGCTGGGTGTGTAAGCAGAGTGAGGTCCTGGATACCCCTGCTTACGGTGGAGGAGAATGGCAGCCCTCCCTTCCAGAGCACGTAGTCCTCTTCTTAACTGTCCAAAGGAATCGCTCAAGAGTGAAATAAAAACTTGCTGTCTATTTGTGGGATCTGAGCCCAGTGATGGGAAACGGGAAGACAATAATTGGCCAATCACACACTTAAATGAATAAATGAGACCATTGATTCTCAGCAGTAATTTCATGCCATAATCGACAATAAATAGAACTTTTGGAAGTGATTGTTTGGTGCACAGGCAGCCACAGCAGCCCATGGCCTCGGGGTGGTGCTGCACTGCATGCTTGTGGAATGGGGTCTGGGGAGACTGCATGTCCTAGTGGGGTTAGAACAAGGTGCTCAGTGGCAGAGTGGTGCTGGGTGTGGTGGCTGACACCTGTGGCCCCAGCACTGAAGAGGGGTGATCATTTGAACCCAAGAGTTGAGGCCAACCTGGACAACACAGAGAGACTCCCACTTAAAAAAAAGAAAGCCAGACTCAGCCCCAGAACTGACACCCCCAAGCCCGGATTCTTTCCCACTAATCAGGAGGCCACTGCAGTGTTAGATTAGGGGCGTCAGCTGAACACGCCTATCCTTACTGTTGGCTGTTAAAATGCAGTGCTGGGTTGTGTAAAAGCAGCTCCCACTTTAAGAATCCATGTGACTACCATTGGCAGAGACCCTGTTGGAAGAGACCCCCCCCTTCATTGCTGGGGTGCAGCCCTCTCACTTATCTGGCATCTGCTAACCTGCTCACTCCAAGCTTCCCCACCCTTCTGGGCTCCCATTTTCCACTCAGTGGTTTTTCCTTGCTTGAAGTTTAAGAAATTTAAAGCAGATAATAATTGTAAAAAAATTGTTTTGACTTATTGACACCTCCCTTAAATTGGCATGTATCTAAATGTACTTTTTTCCTATATAGATGTAGTTTATGCTAATCTGCTTGACCATAGTAACATTTTACCCTTATATAACTCATCACATCATGTGGTAAACCTCTCATATACAAATTTTATTTAAAAATTGTTTATTATATATGCATCAGAAAGGTGATTTGAAGCTCTTTTATTATTGTTTTGGTTGAAAGAGATTCATATTTGATCCAAAAAAAGACCAATCCTTTAACCTTGTTTACTTTATATATTAAACACCTATTCCAAGCCAGGCACTGTTTTAAGCATTCAGAAACAGAAAAGGTGTGTAATGGTTTTGAGAACAGAACAATGGAATGATTTCTATGTTATGAAAGAAATATTTTCGTCCAAATGGCTGAGAATAAAAGAAGATTAAAATATAACATTAAATTATTAGTTATCCCAAAGAGATCATTTGAAAAAGAAACATTAATGTCTTGGTAATTATTTCATAATCTTATTTTGACCAGGATGACTGAAACAAAAGCTAATGTGATATTTATTGCTCACACTTGAGTCTGTGCCCAATTACATGTTTAAAAATATTAAGTGTGTATATAAATGCAGTAGAATCATGGTAGAAATTTATCATTAAGAACACAACCTAAGAATTTGAACATGATTAAAGGCTGTTCTATGTGTTTGTGTTCATTTGTTTAAAATTTGTATACAGTCTCCAATAAACCTGAACTTAAGGTTTAGTTTTTATCCAGGAAATGCATTACAAAGTCTCTGGAAAAAGAACAAGTTGATAATTTAGTGAAAAACTTGGAGGATTTGATGAGAACTAAGCCTAAGCTATGTGCTGCCAGAGGTTTTACTAAATTCTTCAGAGCTTTTTCTAGCTTTAGGTATTTAAAAGTCAGCACTGTTTTGATTTAAAGGTTTAAACAGCTTAGAGTTTTCTAAGAGATTTAAAGAATTTGAGAAGGGGAGGCCAGTTAATCCTAGCTGTGAATTCAGGTGCAACATCTGATTTAATTAAAAAAAAATCATAGTGGTCAACAGAAGTTGGAAAGCATTCTGTGCACCTTATCTACTCTTGATGTTTAAATTAGCCTTCAAATGCTTTTGGGAGATCAGAGACAAAGATTGACACCTGGTCTACCTTGGCACCTCTGCTCAGTAAAATCAACAGGTGACACAGCCTTTGTGGTCCGGACCCTGCAACACGCGCATTTCACACCACCCTGGAGGCGATGCTTCCCGAAGAAGCCAGGGTGGTGGGGCGCCTGCACAGAGGGGCTCTGGTTTCCCTGGTGGAGACCCCTGTACTGTGGGAGGCGAGCGGGAGTTCTGGCCATGGACTAGGGTGCAGTGAAAGTGGAACCATGCACACTGCCCATAGCTGGACAGTCAAACGCCGGGTCTTGGCGGGCTGGGTGGAGTCCAAAGTGCCCCCTCTCGGGCATGTGGAATGCAAACTCCTAGGAGGAGGGGAGGATCCTGGAGGCCCCTGGGGCGTGATGGAAAGAACCACAGACAGAGGGGTCTGGAAAGGTGGGTCTTTCCCAGTGGAGACCCCTGTGGGGTGCAGGTGGCAGCTGATTGGACAGGATGGCCCTGGCTTTAACCTTCCAATTCCCTTCCAGTGTCCTCCCCGGGAATCCCCCTGTCCTGCCCCACCAGTGTAGCAGGTAGATGTTCCTGAGCAAACCATCTCCTCTCCAGCCTTAGGATCCTCTGCACTTCCCTGGAATTAACCTGAGTGCCCGGTCCAGTGCACAGGGTTGCCAGAGGGTCACATTGAGCTACTCAGTGACTTACTTTTAATGACCATGAAACCTTCTGGGCTTGAGTGTTTATGGGAGACTTCCCAGGCATCCGTGTTTGCTCATTTTAACCTTGATTCTCTACTGTTCTTACTGTACATTTTTCTTATCCATTTATGATACTAAATGTATTATCTAGAAGAAAACAAAGAAAGCAAGAGAGACAATTTGCAGCTCAATTAACAAAAGAATTCTATTTTTTTTCCCTCAATTGTTTACTTCAATGCCAAACATTTCTCGGACCTGAGTATTTGAGGTATGTATGACTTTCCTTTCTTGATGTCAGCCAAATCAGAAGGACAGCAGGGTTAGCCAACTTGGGATCAGGTTCTTTAGCTCCAGAGTGACTCAGGAATGCTGCTCACCCTGCCTGGCCCTCATCTTTCAGTCTTACAGTGAAGGTGAAGTTAACCTATTTCACCTGATCCCTGGAAGGAAAGGAGAAAGGTCTCCATTGCTTAATCGTAAGAGAAGAGCTCTCTAAGTACCTGGTGACCATGGCAATTTTGGAGAGGAGTCACCTTCATGAGAGTAGTTTTTCTGATGTCTTGATTCCAAAGTCTTCTCCAGGCTTCTGTTGGCTCGTGTAGACTCCACTATTGCAGGAGAGAAGGGAGCGGCTGCACTAGGTCACACTGAATTTGAGCTGGGCGAGAGTGAGGCCTGGGGTCCTGCTACAGAACCATCATCATGGGGGACCTATGAGGAAGACCAGGCCCGGAGGTCAGGCCTGCGCTGCCGTCTCACTTGCCTCCATCTTCAACTCTTCCGTGTCCTTCGGAGGTCTGTGGGGACAGTGTATACAGGTATGTGGACTTTGGAGGCCCACAGGTGGGGGTGACATTAAAACATTTGACAACCAGTAATGCAGGGACATGGACACAACCAGAAAGCAGAGGTGGGGCGGGGTCCAAGTCATGAGCCCTGGGTTTTGGGAAAGTGCCAGGTAGCCAGGGAGGTGGGAAGGAGGATTGGGGGGACACAGCACTGGGGAGGGCTGAGAGGCATCCATTGCCCTACCCGTCAGCAGCTACTTCCGTGTTTTAATAACAGGTACAGCTGTTGCCCTGCAGGAAAGCCCACTTTTGATCTGGGACAAAATATTGGCTGTGGATAAATTGCTTTCAGTGTCTTCAACTGGCGAGTAGGGATCCTGCTAATACATGTTTGTCAAGTTGCCTTGAGGGTTAAATGAGATAATGTGGGGAAAGTGCTGAGCCCAGTGCCGGGTCAGCACACATTCAATAAGTGGCAGCTGCTGCGTCATCATGGCGGTATGTGACTGACATTTAGAGGAATTTCAATGGAAACAGCTGGGTACTTAGTGAGCCTTTTTCTGGGAGAGATTTAAACATGGCTGTTTAGATTTTATTTGTGAATAGATTTCTGCTTAAATTTTATGATAATCTTAAAAACACTGATAGGAGAAAATGCAAAGACGATACTTTAATTTGCTCTGCAGTTACTACCATAGCTAAAGAGTAACAGGCTTACAGATTAATAAGTTTCTCAGATGTAGAGAATGTCTTGCCTTGTGCAACTTAGAAGCACTTTCTACATTCCTTGAAGTTATTGGGACACCTCACCTAGACCCCAGATGTATCCAGGGCTCTCCAGTTACCCTGCCGGTAGATAAGGTCATTGAAAAGGATGAATAAAATGAACTCAGATGAGAATGAATCTCATTTAAGATTGCCTCAATCTTAACAAACATTCAGGGCACATTAGGTAGAGGAAACTTGTGGAATGTCATGTGATGTTATATAATAGAATCCTTCTGAATACACAAAAGGGCTTACAAAGAAATTTTTTGAAGAAAATAAAATTTCCCATTTTTTTATTTTATAAGTTTTGCCTTTCACATAGTTGCTTATACTGCTGTAGTTGTGTGTGCATGTGTTTGTATGTTCTATTTTAAAAACAACTTTATTTAGATAAAATTCACATGCTACATATGTTTAAAGTATGTAAGTTGATGATTTTTAGCATATTCAGAGCTGTGCAAAAATTACCACAATCAGTTTTGGAACATTTTCATCACTCCAAAAAATGTGTTTATTTTATTTTTTATATGTTGGTGTATTTCCTACATTTCTAACTTCATTCCAGTATGGTCAGAGAACATAATTTGCTTTTTATTATTATTATTATTATTATTGGTACTGGAGATTGAATTCAGGGGCACTCAATCACTTAGCCACATCCCCAGCCTTATTTTCTATTTTATTTAGAGACAGAGTCTCACTGAGTTGCTCAGTGCCTCACCATTGCTGAGGCTGGCTTTGAACTCACAATCCTCCTGCCTCAGCCTCCCAAGCCGCTGGGATTACAGGTGTGTGCCACTGTGCCCTGCTCAGAGAACATAGTTTCTGTGATTTTCATCCTTTAAGCCTTTTGGTGATTAGTGTCATGGCTGCTATATGGTTTCCTTGGGAAACGTTCTCCAGCTATATAGTCCTCTTCGTGTCAATATTCTGGAAATCTCTTTCCTATATGTTCTTTTCAATTATTAAAAGGAAGGAGCACTCTGTTGTTTGGGTGGCAGGTCCAACTGTCAGTCCTAGTGGATCCATGGTATTGTTCCAGTCTTCAGGTTACTCTCAAAGCTTCTGCCAGGCTATCCCTCCATTTTTGCAAGGGGGATACTGCAATCTCCATTGCTATTGTTGAATCTGCTGTCTTCCCTTCCTGTTTTCCAGGTTTTGCTTCAGGTATCATGGGACCCTGTGGGAGGTGATGCCCTCCACTGGGAGCTGGGGTAGAGGTTGCCCTTTGTCTCTCCAGTGCCTCTAGGAGTAGAGTCCCGTTTTGCCAAGCTGGTTCTTGGCTCGCATGCAGACTGGCTGATCTTGTTGAGATTAAGAAGTAGATTCTCTTGAATAAATGCTTTTCTATTTGCTCTATGCCCTGAGGAGAAATTTCCAGAGATTTAAAATGTTCTTTTAAAGATAAATTTCACCAATTACAGTTGTTCCACAGGAAGGAAGCTACACAGTCCTCTTCATGCCAATATTCTGGAAATCTCTTTCCTATATGTTCTTTTCAATTATTAAAAAGAACAGAATTCACAATAGTTCCACAATCCAGGTATGAATGGAGATTTGGACCTACAGTTTTTCAATCTTGTAACATAGTAATTGTTAAGGTATTAATATTTATTCTCCTCGTTGCATGGTATGGCCTCCAGAAGCCTCCACAGCAGAAAGTTCTCAGGAGGCACTAATCAAGGTCCTTGCTTAGTGTTTACCTGATTAACCCAGAACCTAAGTAGAAGCTCTTCTCTCCTGTTTTCATAGCCTATATTTAAGACACAAGCCTTTTATTCCTCAGAAATGAACTGTAAGTCTTGCTTCTCAGGAATTCTGACAATTTAAGAGACTATTTCAACTGCCAAAGTCAACCTAATGTAATCAGAAGTCACCTGGAAACTGATGGGTAAGTGGATGACAAGTAAGACTTTAGCTAAGGAGTATGATTATATTTTAGGCCAGTAACTCCTCGAAGAAGAAAATTTGTAAATACTAGGTAAAATGTTAGGCAAATGATTTAAATTGCCTCCTTTTCCACTTTAATGACTCACCCACCAACTCTGCCTGACTATGACGCAAGCAAGCGAATGTGAAGCTACTTGCAGACTTCCTAGTAACAGACCTTCCCACCTGGTGGGATCGACCCTCTTGCTCTGTGGAGTATTGCTATTTCATGAGCATTTTAGTCTATCCTGTGATTTTTAACTATTAGTTTCTCGTTTCCCCCAGTGGTATTGCATATCTCATTAACTACACAGACGTAATGTACACATGCACATGATCCATGTGCATAAATAATTTCATATGCAGCACACATATGGTAATTGTGTAAGAATAAATGGTTCTGGAGACCATTTTTGATAAAGACTGGTTCCAGCGCCCTGACCTGACCTTTTGAGTCTGACATGTGGTTCCATTTCTACCGCCCTCACCCACTTTGAGGCCTTGGCTTGCTCTGTATTGCTCTTGTCTGTGATGACACTTGTGTTTTTTTTTTTTTTTAATTCCTCTTTGGCTGCTGTTCACTGTTATAGACTGCTTCCCAAATAAATCTCAAGTGACCCCCTGTGTGAGTGCGTGTCCCTATCTCAGGTCACCAAAAGCCTGGCCTTGTGAGATCTGATGCATGTCGTCTAGGGCTGTGATTTCCATCCTGTGTGTGAGGAGCCTTTGCTACACACAGCTCAGGTCACCGTCACTTCACGGAGTGCTCCTGTCTCTTTCACTGACCTTTGCATTATTGTCTGTGTTTAGGAAGGTGCTGATCCCGCCTTCTTTATCAGGTGGCTTGAATTGAATTTTTAAACGTGAGTTGCTGCAGATCCTTCTGAAATATGTTTAACAGTCACTAATAGGGCATTATGTAAAAATGTGGATGTGTAACCGATGTGATTCTGCAACTTGTATTTGGGGTAAAAATGGGAGTTCATAACCCACTTGAATCAAATGTATGAAAGATGATATGTCAAGAGCTTTGTAATGTTTTGAACATCCAATAAAAAAAGTGAAATATGTTTAAATTTTACATGGGCAAACATGTATTTTCTAACCTGAAATATATAAACATTTTTAAAGAACATTTCCCCTCTTTTATAAACAATGAACACCCCCCCAACATACACATCCCTTGTATTGCTTAAACACTGTGTAACGTTTGATTGTACATTTGTTTTATTTATTGATTTATATGGTATTTACTAAGCACCAGTAAATAATGAGCACTTATTGAGGTTTAAGTGCCATATACTTAGCCTACCTGTCTTACTTCATCTATATTTGGGAGGTGCATTGCCTCAGAGTAAAGCTGCCTACTTTTGCTGTCTCCTTGAAACTATTTAAATCCACAATTTCCCCTGATGATAGGAGAACTTTTGTGACTGTATTTGAAAATTTTAGTTGATAAATTTACTTTCAGTGACTTGAAAATAAAGTCCATTTCTTTCTTCCTTTTCCCCTAAGCATTGTGTCTACACCTGAATTCACAGTTAGAGGCAGAAAATAAACGTCTTTGCAGGAAGTGATTCCAATTCCATCTCCACCTCTTCAGCTGGAGGCCAGAAGGGAGAGCGCAGGACACAGTGTGGAGGTAGGAGCGCTGCAGGACAAGGAGCCAGGGAGGCCGGGCACATGCTGAGGATGGAATGTTCTAGTGCAGTCCAGAGTTGGTCAGGTCTGTGGGCTCAGGGGGTCAGCCTATGGGAGGAAAAGCCATGGCCGGCGTAACAGGAGCAGACACCTCAAATGCAGTGGGATGAAGAGAGCTGTGCGGTGGGACAGGTGCCACCCCTGCTCCTGGTGAACTTGCGGTGCGCTCAGGGACTGACCCCGCACTAAGCACCTGGAGTGCTGGGGGGAAATGATGTGAGTTGACCCTTGACCTCAGGAAGTGCATGTCACTGATGCAGACGGAGGGTATTGTGCAGGTTAAGGAAAACATTTGCCCAGCCCCACATACACACCAGGGCCTCCCCCAAAACAAAGCAGGTGCTGTATCCCTCCATGAAGAGGTTCAGAAAGAGCTAAAGCAGCCCAGCTAGCACCTTGGGGGACATGCGCTTTATCCTGCATGGTGCCAGGGACAGCGGTGAAGCCCTGGCACAGGAGGGTCTCAATTAACAGAGTGTATGTGTCAGTCAGCGTTCTGCCTGAGTGCAGAAGGGAGTTCAGACTTCCCACCATTAGGCAGGGACTTTCAGAGGAACAGACCCTCTGCAGGCCATGTGACAAGGGAGCAGCTGACGTTCATTGGGTGCTGGCTCCATGCCGAGCGCTGCTCTGAGACACTTGTGTGCATTAACTTGTTTTTATCACAGTAACTTGATATCTTACCATTTAATATAGTGTGTACTCTTGTTGGCTGTGGTTTATTGACAAGGACACTGATTCCACCACGGAAACCACTAAACCACAGCGTCATCTCTGAGGTTGCCTGAGGTGGCCAGATATCAGAGCCAAGAGGTCAGTGATACTGATGGGACTGTTGGTCAACTGAGTGCACAAACGTCAGCCTAGGGTGGAGGAAGACCTGGGAGAGCCCAGGTGGAGGCTGTGGCTGGAGATGGGTGATACCACCGGTAATCAGTGCCGAGTCCTGCTCCCCACATGTTGACACTAGAGAAGCACGCCAAGGCAAGTGTATAAAGCAGGGTTCACTTTAAAAGGGGTAACACAGACTTCCCCTGGGACGAAGAAGGGGGCCATAGCTGGATCCTGGTGTCCCCAGAAGTGAGGGATTCTGCCTTTTTATATCCCAGGCTTCCTTTGTCCTCCTGCTCTCTTCCCCTCACCTCTCTCCTCCCTGTGCATGTGACTAGGCCCAGGAGATGCTCAGTGGGTGGCCAAAGGGTGAGAAGCAGATGGAAGGGGAAGGGCCAGATGGAGCAGCCCTGGGCACTAACAACTTTATAACTCCCTGTAGGGAGGGACATTCTGGGACAGGTTACCTTAGCCACAGGTTGGAGCCCCACGGGTTATCTTGACGGGGTGGAGGAAGGGCTCTGAAGGCATTTCAGTCCCTCAGGGGACAGTCTCCAACTTCCTGGACTCACTCAAATTGGCCTCCTTGATCCGACCTGACTCGGTTTACCTGTCTATACCGACAGCCTAATTCTGGCTTCGCTGGGACTGACTCACCATGAGGAGACCCTTGATCTGGAGGGATCAACTGACCTTGGCAAGGGCCATCCCTCGAGCTGCCTGTTAACATGGAATGCCAACCCCCCTACAGTGCTCATCAAGTACACCCTGAGTCTCAGCGTCACTGAGTGACGCACTGGCACACGTGGGTTCTTCCCCCTAGTCTATGTGGCTTCCTTCTCTCTTTCCTCCCTCCATCCCTTCTTTCCTATCTCCCTTGCTTCCTTCTTTCCTGTTTCTCTTCCTTCTTTTATTTAAGAAATGTTTCCGAGCACCTACTGTGTACCAGGTGTTGGGCGTTCAGTGCATAGACCACAGATACAGCCCTGAAGCCCTGGGGGCTTATGGTTGAGCGGGCAGAAGGACGACCAGTCACACAGCGGGAGTAAAACTGAAATCGTGACAAACGCCCCAGGAAGGTGCATGCTTTTGCCAACTCCTGTGGTGGGGCTACTGTGGTGCCTCAGGGCGGGACATGGCTCTCAGATGAGGCAGTGATTCAAGTTGGGAGTGAGGATGAGTGGGCGTGGGACAGACAGGGGCCTGGACAAAGAGCCCAGGGAGCAGAGCCTGAGTGGCAGCCTTGGAGCAGCAGGAGTCTGTGCCCCTCAGGGAGGAGAGAGCCGGCCTGAGGGCGCAGGAGGCACTGCTGGAGCAGGAAGTGAGGGCCACGTGTGGAGGGCACCAGGCCTGCTCAGGTCTGCCTTTCCGCTGTGTCAAGGCTTGTAGCAGCACAGCTGCATGTGCATTTGGAAGAGAACACTCTGGCCTTGGGGAAGGCAGGGACTGGACAGAAAGCAAGACAGGGAGTTGGCAGCGCAGTTGAGGGCTGTCAGTGTGGACGTGCTGAGTGTGCTAGTGTGCTGAGAACTGCTAAGCAGGGTGCATGGGAGCTTTAGGGTCTCAAAGTATTATTCATTATGATCGTGTGTGTCAGGGCGTAGAACAAAATACTCCCAAATACGGAGGCTTGGCATATTTTGAGAAATTGAGAGAACTGTAGAAGCAAGGGACCACTGTGATCTTACCCTCACCCCTCTGTGCAAGGTTGTCCACAAAGAAATCCTATAATCTCGTTCCCCCTAGGGATGTCATAGACCCTCTTGTGACAGTGTCCTGCCCCACTCCTAGAAGCCCAGAGGAACCTGCACAGGTGGCCCTTGCTGCCTCCCACACAGTGTCATTAGCCCAGATTCTCTCTCTCTCTCTCTTTTGTTTTTTTATTATTTATTTAGGTCAGACTCTCTTTAACAATCACACTCCTACTGTTTACTCTTCATCCTGCCTAAGTGTAAGCATAAGCTTTCCCGGGAGCTTTGGGTCTTCCTTTCTTAAGATTCCTGTGTGATGCAAAACTTGATTAGATAAATTTTTTTCTTTTCTTTTAATCGTCTCTCTGTGACAGTGTACGTGCCCATTGACAGCCTGCTCTGCTCTTTTTTTGGGCGACGGGCTCTTCCTGTAGTTATAAGCTGTCTTGCCTTTGTCCATGTCCCGGACCCTGTGACTTCTCACCTCTATCTCCAAAGTACCAAAGTACAGGTAGAGTCAGACGAGACCATGTGCTATTGATTAATGAGAACTTAAATATTACAGATACCTCACAAAAGCTGATTATTTTATAAGTAAGAGTTCATTTATAGACAGCACATTCATTCTAAAACAGAGAAGGAAACAGCCATTTGATTCACACTGGTATGACTTCTGTACCAAGGTCAGATTTTGCCATCTCCGATTCCTGTTCACTCCAGTTGACTTCATTTTGGACTTGTGTTCATGGTAATGATGATTCTAAACTGAGCCGTCAACTCCTGCAACCTTAGGCATCCTCAGTGAAAATGGAGGATACTACCCTCTGAAGGTCAGCAATCTCCATCTTGCCATTTGGTTTTCTTTAATAACCTTGAAGATGGCTCCAAGGCTAGAGAGGCAAACAAAAAATTATGTGGGGATTTTCTTGAAAAGTTCTACCTATGCTTTAAATTGGGTTAAACATTGAGCTGAATCCTTAGACGAAGGAGATAATGCAATAAATCATGGAGGATCTTGTGTAAAAACATTTTAACAATGTGCTTCAAGTAAAAAATACCCTGCTGTTGAGGGCAACAATCTGTGTTACAATGACTCTAAAATGAAAGAAGTAATTTTAAATAAATAAAGCCCCTTTGGTACACAAAACATCATCTTTTCAAAGTCAATGTGTTGTGGCAGATCTGTTGTATACTGGGAGTTTTCCAAGAGCTTTTTTGGAAAGCTCAAGGTATACAATAGCTCTGCAGACCATTGTGAGATCAGTTAGAGCAGACAAGGTGCTATAAAGACATGGCATTGGGTAGGAATTTTCTCAGTAATAGAATGTGCTGTGGTTGGAGGAATTCTGCTTATGATGGCATCCAGCTACCATAGCAACAGATGGACTTTATCTACTACAGGAACACCCCCACATTCTCCATTTTGCCTCTAATTATAGGCCAGATACAGTGGTGTTTTATGCCTGTGGAACATTGACAAAATAATAGCATTATTGTGTTAGAAGAGAAAGCTACACTTGGTGGCCTGACGGATTGATTCCTTCAATAAAGATGAACACCTGTTGGCCTAGTAAAATGAAAGGGGCTTGGAAGAGGACAGAGAACAAGGTATAATTCTTACTTTGACTGGGGAGATTATCAATGAAATAGCCATTATGTACTATACATAAATAAATGTGACCCTGTGTGTTTAAATACAGAGCACCTAACTGGTGCACCTACCAAGACAACCTTCCTGGGAAAGTGGCTCCTAAGTAGGGTAGGAGTCAACCAGGGAAGGGTGGGTAGGAGGCTGATGGAGCGGGCATTGCAGACTCTGTGGTGGTGTGATCTCTGAGAGAGATGAAAACTAACTGCAGCATGTAGAATGGAGGGCTTAGGGCAGGATCACCAGGCTTAAAAGACTGTCCAGTGTCACAGGGTCCTAAATGTCCTGGTTGGCTCTTGTGCTAGGTGAGATGAAGCAATCTGGATTCGGGATTTCAGCAGATTCGGGTGGGGAATATTAATAGGATCTAACACCTGAAGGTAGACCTGTGGATTTCCTGATGTTCTTGTTTCTCCGAGAGATCTCACGCCTGATGCTGCTGTTCACAAAAGCATGATATTTAAAAGGGCTTAGATTGTAAGGAGGGAGAAGAAAGAAGCCATTCTCCTTAGAGAGCTTATTTTACAGTAGGAAAAATAACTTGATGTTTTTCCTTTTGACTTTCTTTTATCTGCTCTTCGTATTGTGATTTCTTCAGCTTTCTGTACCTTCTGCAACTGCGTGGGCCTAGCCAGCAACTGAGCCCTGGAGAGGACTGGTGCTGACCAGGGGCAAAGAGGATCCTCTGGCCTCACATTCAGGCCTGGATCGTGGCACCTGAGGACGTGTGGTGGAGGAGAAGGGCTTCCGTTGTGGGCCAGCACTTGCTCCTGAGAGCCACAGAGAGGAGCTCAGTGCCTTTGCTGGAGAAGGCCTGCGCTGGACAAGATGGTGCTGCCTGCCCGGGAGGAAGGCTCAGTTACAGCTGTCCATGGTGCTCACCCGTTTTCCTGCTCTGGTCTTTCTTTTTGGACTTGGGCTCTCCCTGTAGTTTTAAGCTGCCTGGCCTTTGTCCTTGTCCCGGACCCCATCACACTGGTCAAGTCTCTAGTGTTCTGGGTGATTGACAATCTTGCCCTGCTTGGTTCTCTTCTGGGCAGACTCCACTTTCTCCTGCTCTGACTCTTCCCCGCAGTGGGAGCCCTCTGGGATGCATGGTCCTGCCTGGGTCTCCAGTGGAGGCCTTGGATTTTCTTTCTGGTCAAAAGAGAAACCTGTCCTTTTGAGAACGATTAAAATGCTCCAGTTTTTTCAAATTTAAATGAGTGCCTGAAAATAGCTTTGTGGTTATTTGACGGCAGGGGGACCCAAAAGCAGCTCGTGACCTCCTCATAATCACGAACACTGAGACAGGCCACTTTTGCAACCTGCTGTTCTCTAGGGTGATGAAATATCTGACTCCAAGTCCTACAATATCCTTTTCAATCAGGATATCTGAGATTTTATTTATATACAGAAGTGTCAGTTCAAACATTAAAAATGTAAGAAATCTCAAATTGCTTAGATTTCTACATATTCTTCATTGCAAGTGACGTTTTCAATTCCTGATGGAAATAGAAGGATGGTAGAAAGTTCCAGGTAAATGTTGTCTTTTGTGTCATGAAGTCACTTAAGTGTGGCTGATGGGATGAAAGGATGAAATGAGGTTTCTGAGCACAAACAAGTCCTTGGATAACATTTCTAATTTTTTTTGGTCATATTACAAATAAATAACTTATAAGTGTTGTAGCAGAAATTATCAGCCAAATTTTAGTGTTTCAAGAAATAAAGTGACTGCTTAGGTTTAAGTCAGAAACCAACGACCATATTAAAAGTATTAAGCAAAATCTGATACAGATTTAAGACACTACATGTAAGAGGTAGCCCTGCCACATTCAGAGATTAAAGATGGATGATCAGAACCTAAACAAATGTAAATGACAATAATGCAAAGTCTATAGAATTTTCTTTTTACACTTTCCCTCTAGTTGTTTGGGTGAATCATAAAGCTATTTTTCTTACTCTCTCATTTTAAATGTTCCTTCTTTAGTTTAACGTATATTTCTGGGAATTGTGGCTTTGCTCTACATTCTGTGTCTTCAGTGATGGAGTATAACTACCTCGAGGGTTCTGGGAAGACATCGGTTTGAATGTATTCCTAATGCCTTCCTTTCCAAGCTACTGACCACATTTTCCAAGTCAGGTAGGAGCTTGGGTCATCAGAGGGGATGACCCAGAAGATATGAGTGAGACTCAGGCTCTGCTCAGACCCACACATTCCCATTTTTGGCCTGTAGATTAGAAAACAAGAGTTCTGTAGAATGAAATTTAGTGGGTCATGGCAAATCTTGGCTCTTCAAGATATGGGAACTTGTGGGAAGATAAGTAGGGATTTCCTGTACATAAGTATCCCTGGAAAGAAGCACTACAAACCCAGAATGCAGAATTGCTGAGTGTGTGGGTGGCTTTCTTCCACCCACTCATACTTAAGGCTGGAGACTGCTCAGAATGTCAGGAAGGGGAGACGCTTCCTCCTGGGCCTTGGGCAAGGGACTGGAGGCTCCTGCTGGCAGCACCCTCTGGCCTGGGGAGACAGGTTTCTGTGTAGGTGCTCACACTTGTGCACACACCCCCTACTACAGAAGGACTTACTTTCATTTAAGGTCCTTAGCAGCTTCCTCTGAACTCTAGTGAGTAAAAGCCAACAAACAAGCAGCAGCTAGTGAACATAAGAAAGATGACGTGTGAAATTGCACAAGAAATCAGAGCACATTAAGTGATGTCCTATAGCACAAGAGACTTCAGAACTGAAAGCATTCTGCAAAACAAGACCCCCACAGCAGTTGAGGATAGATTTACTGATGGGAAAGTTCAGGGAAATGTTTCAGAACAAAAAATGCAGACAGTCCAAGAGGACAGATCCTGGAAATGTAACACATAACGTCAGCCATGCAAGCCCTTCCAAAAGAAATACAATATCATAATGGTACGATATCTCTAAGCTGAAGCAGAATTTGCATTTGCAAGAGAATAGTCTTACTGAGGTTTGGCTGAGACTGATGAGGACACAGACCTGGAAATAGCTGGTTCAATGTCTGATGCCCAACAGGAAGAGAAAGTCTGCTTACTTCAAATAGAACAAGCAAGTTACCTGGAGAAGAAGAAAGAAAAGGTAGAAACCGCTGACCCCAACTCTGCAGGCTCATCAGATTGTGTGTGTGTGTGTGTGTGTGCACGCGTGCGTGTGTGCGTGCTTGTGTACACAAAATTCACAAGAAAAAGCTCTTGTTCCAAGAATACTACATTCAGCAAAGATATCATCCCCTGCAAGAGTAAGTTCACAAATGTTGAAGATTCAGAGATTAGATCAGTCTTAAACCTCTGTAGACAATATTCATGAATCACTGCAGAGAGCTCAGTGTGGGGGATATTAAAGGAGGAGCAGTGGAAGGTGGAGGCAGATCCTGCTGTAGTCATATCTCCAAAGTCCCATCCCATTACTCAGATCCAAAGGACAGCAGAGATCAGATTTGGGTGTGCAGAACAAGGGTTTTGAAATAGAAGTAACTATAATAAAAATTAAAATCCAATAATGGCCCAGATGAAAGTACAAAAGAGCTCGTGTTGGGAGTGTTGGGGCAGAAGGAAGGAAGGTATTTCAAAGCTTTAATTCAGGAGAAGAGGAAGTGAAATATGCCTACGATTTTATCTTCAGTACAGGGCAGGGGAAGAAAAAGATGAGGGGAAAGACCAGTTAGTGGAGGAAATGCTTGATGGCTCATAAAATACAGAAAACAATGTGTGTTGATTATGAGAGGTAATTTGTATGAAAGTAGCAAAATATGGGAGAACTTTAGAAATTAGCAGTAGGAAATTAGGACATGAACATTTACTTTTGATAAACCAGTAAAGGTGGGGGGAATGACAATCAAATGAATTAAAATGAAATAAAACTGAGAAAAGAAAATAATTGAAGGCAAATGGTAGAAACAGAAAAAGCAGGTGCGACTATGTTAATTTTACCTTAGACAAGCTAAAATTTATGGCTAATAGCACTAAATAAGGATGTTATACAGTCGTAAGCTATTCAGTCATAAAATAGAAATTTCACAGACTTACAACCATCAGCAAAATAAATATTAAAAAACATAAATAGGTAAAAAGTAACAATTTGAATGATGTAATCAATAAATTTGAATATTTTGTTTGGTCTCTGGATTAAGAATAGACTTTTTTCCATATCTACATGGAAATATTAAAAAATTCAGTCATGCATTGATCCCAAGAAAACCTCCTGACAGTAACCCATAGGACTCAGTGATAGCAATTAAGTGGGATTAAAAATCAGTAATAAAAATATGAAACACTCTAATAACATGAAATCAATAAATAAATCTAGAAAAAAATGAAAAGGAGAATATGTCACACAAAAATACATGGGATAGAGGGGAAGTCTTGGTCCTAAATAAATACAAAGAACAGGCCAGTAACAGAGCAATTGATGCTTATTTGAGCAACTGTAGTAAGACAAAGTTAAAAGAAAGTTGAAAAGCAGAATTAAATGATAAATGTTGAAGTTTTTGACAAAATGCTAAATATAAATAAGTAAAAATAATGTTTTTTGTGGTAATGTACGATATGTCAAGATCATTGTATTGTCTTGAACAATAAAAAAATAATAATATTGTTCTGTAAAAGATCAATAAATTATACAAGGCCTCCAAAGGGAATTATGTAACATTAAGATCAAGGAAGAAGAAAGGAAAACAATTATGTGATTATTTTGTGTACACCTTAGCAACAAATTTGGAAACCTACAGTGAATTGATGACAGTTAATTGCTAAAGCTGGACTAAGTAAAGGTGAAGAATTTAAATAGATTTTAGAATACATTAGAAATGTATTTAAGATCTTTTATTTTTTTTTAAAAAAGCCCTATGAATGCATGGCTTCACATTTCAGGTTTATTTAAAGGAAGATAATTATATTAATATGGATTATACATTAAGAAGGAAAGATTCTCATCTTTTGAGGCCTGCAAAAATTCAATACCAAAGTTATGCTGTAGCTCAGTGGTAGAGCACTTGCCTAGAATGTGTGAGGCCTTGGGTTTGATCCTTGGCACCACATAGAAAATAAATGGGTAAAATAAAAGTATTGTGTTCATCACAACTATAAATTATTTTTAAAAAATTAAATACTAAAACAGGAAGACATAAAACAAAGAAAATAAGACTGACCAATCTTCCTTATAAGTTGATACGAAAATTTTAAATATATGTCAACAAATAGAATCAAAAGATAATGTACAATGACTGACTGGGGTTTATTCAAAAAATGCAAGAGTGGTTCAGTCCCAGGAAATAAATTAGTGTGGTATCAAAAAGTGAACAAGAGTGCCAATATGACCTTAGCTGGGGGCATTAAAAAGTATTCGATGCAATTGAAACAGGCAATAAAAACACTGAGTAAAATAAAAATGCATGGAAATTACTTATAAGTGTTGAAGGCTATTTTCAAAAATAATTGTCAGGAATTAAAATGTGTTTTAGTTAGAGTATTTTTCAATCAGAGACAAAATTACAGGTGATTGTTTTTGAAATGTTTGCTCAATTTCATAGCTGTTACAATTGTGGAAACAGTTGCTACAGAGGTTGGGAACTAACATTCTCACAATTAGGATCGCTCTGGGCCCCCTCTGGTCATGGAAGAGGTCAGGTGGACTCCACAGTGTCACCCAGGGCTGGCTGAGGAACAGGCGTGGAAAACCCACGGCGCAGAGTCTGAGGGCACCAAGGAGACAGCCCCAGATTTTTCAACGCTGAGTGCTGTCACAGGGTCATCGCTGGGTCCTGTGTGTGGTTCCTCTGTGGGGAGGGCAGCAGCTGAAGGACACGGGCTGTGGGGCCAGTCGTCGGCCGGGAAGGATGGGCTTCCCTGGGCGCTGCCGGGGAGCCCGTGCCTGGGTCTGCAGGAGGGTGGGGCCGGTACCAGGGAAGCAACCCCACACCCTGAATCCAAGGGCAGCTCCTGCTGCAGGAGAAGGGGAGACGCAGACTGGTATCACGGTGCCTTTGGACACTCCCACCTCTTGACTAATGGAAAAAAAAATGAAATATTTCATTTAGCTGGAAATATGACTTAATAAGAAAGAAATCCAAGCACCTTCATTCACTGAATAAGACGATAGACAAAAATTACTCGTTTTCTCTTTGTCAGCAATTACCAGGTAAACATAAAAATGTGAAAATTTAATTCTCAATGATGACAAAAATATGAGATATTTGAGAATATTTTAATAAGGAATATATAGTATGCCTGAAAATAATTATAATATTTTTGAGGGATGAATATAAACTTTGATTACATGAGAGAAATATTATGACCTTGAATGTGAATATTTAATAACAGAAAACCATAAATCAAATCTAAAATTCATGTAGTTTAGATGATTAAATCCTTGTTAGAATCACATTTTAATTAGATTAAAAACTCCCTATGGAAGAGGAGAATTTGAGAATAAACAAGAAATAATGCCAGGTACTC